GTGGTTCTGATTAGTGGAGGCTGCAAGGGAGAGGAGGGGTGGTAAGAGGGGAAAAGAGGAGGGGTGGACAGGGGAGGGTCAATCAACATCAAGTATCATCATCATCAACATCATCAGCATCATCATCATCATCATCTCAAGATCTCACCATTATCATATCCGAATTCTTAGGTTACATTCTAGTCTAGCTGATTTCCTAATTGAGCTTTTACTGTGTTCAAGTTCTTGCCCAGGTTGAGTAGCATCCAGAACGACGCTGGCCGGTGCTGGGGCATCGCCCTGTAACCCTTCATAGGAGCTTGAGGCCTTGGATAGAGATCTGGGGATTGCTGAGGGTGGAAGGCAATTACAATACTTGACCAAAGGCTACAATCTGGTCTACGAGGGTCGGCGCTGGGGTGGTTGGCGCTGCCCTGTAACCTAGCTAGATTGGGGTGTGAGACCGGGTAGAGGGTTGGTTGGTATACAGTATTGGCTCGGTAGAGACTGGCTGGTTGGTATGGACATTTGAGATGAGGGTTAAGGTAGTATGCGAGATCTGAGTAGATAAGCACTCCGAGTAATCAGCTTCAATCTCTAACTTGCTATCTCAATCATCCTGAAGCGTTCCTGAATCATCCCAAATTTTCATCAATCATCAATGTATTCCAATTATCAGGGACGCTGGGCCCTGTTCCCAGCACCCGCTGCTCCCCACGAATAGATTGGAGCATTTATTTATTAAAAAAAAAAAAAAAAAAAAAAAAGGCAGCAGCAGCCACCAGCAACGGCATCAGGTCAGAACTAATGTCAAATTATCTTTGTTGGCTGATTGGAAACGATGCTCGGGAGGCCAGGGACCCAGGGTAAAGGTCGTCTCGGTTTCCAGAGATCATCGAGACATGAGAACACGACAATTTTTTGATGGGCAAGGACAGTGGACACTTGGTCAGCTTTCCCCTTCAAGTTGGTTGAGAGCTCCGTAAGACTGTGGACAAAAAAAAAAAAAAAAAAGACTGTGGACACTTGGTCGGATTTCGATCTGACAAAGACGGTATTATAGAGGACAAAGCCAAGCAGCCAGTGGCACAGAGGACGGTGAAATTGAATAGTGCCAGTTTAACTACAGTAACTTTTTTTTTTTAACCTTTTTTTTTTACAGTGACTTCTTTTTCTGAGCTTTAAAGTTGCCATTTTTGGAAAGCCAGCTATGAGTTAGGGAATGGGACGTTGGACCCAGTTTTTCCAGTATCTTGAGCCCAATCTGGGTAATGATGGCCCCAGGACTTCCGGGCGGCATGTCCCACTTACACCGTTGAGTTGAGCTAGCTCAACAGTGTGACACAGTTATGGCAAATTAAAAATTCAAAACAAGTGCAAAAAAAAGAGAATCAAATGCTGCCAGAGGCTTTTTTCCATATTTTCTCAATTCTAAAATTATGGAGAAAGAAAGTGGGGCAAAAGCAAAGACGAATCTCCTCGAGTGAAACTCTCCCAGGTATACGGAACTCTCTGTGCACTGCCTGAAGTAGGACACAGGACCTCACTACAGCGTGGAACGAACGTGGACGGTGTCCTGTCTATGTGCATTGACCACCCAAAGAAAAGAAACAACTGCCTCCCCAAGTCTGTCGACGTGTCCTCCGACGTCTGTCAGAGTGCCCCCCTTTGTCTGTCAGAGTGTCCTCCCACGTCTGTCAGAGTGCCCCCCTTTGTCTGTCAGAGTGTCCTCCCAAGAGGAGGTAATGATGGCTGAACGTCCGTTGAGCTAGCTACCCCGCTTCCAGAAAGGTAGCTAGAAAAAAAAAAGAAAAAAAAGAAAAAAAAAGAAAGGTAGCTAGCTCAACGGAAGAAGGCTAGGGTAGCCGGCATTGTATTCGGGAGGATCGATTTTCATTCGATCTACTAAAGAAAAGCAATCCAACTTTCATTTTCCTTTTTTTTAAAAATATCCGATGGACGGTGAGAGAACTCATCTCCTGGGTCGCCCCAGGTCACACACGTGATAGAAAACTCAGCGTTGAACTTACTCAACGCTGCAAGTGGGACATGAGCCCGGGTCGAATTGTGAGGTCTCCCCGGCGTCTTCCCCAAATTTTGGAAATAAAACATATCTGCACTTCTCAAAAAAAAAAAAAAAAAAAAAAAAAAAAAAAAAA